AGGGATATAGCACGCAGTAAGGCTTTCATCAGCAATCGTCGACGGTATGATAGCAAAGCTTCAGAGTAGGAAGGCTGCAAGTCATCCAAATCTGAGGAAGCAGCAATGCCAACTTGCCAATTCCTCCGATTATATTCAAGATGATCCCGCTGTTGCTTTGAACCATTCTCAAAATGCAATACCTCAACCTTCAGGCGAGAAATAGTATCATCCAATCCACCCAAGTCTCTAAATAATGCAACAGCTGGATTGCTATAGTCCATAAAAACTTCTAAAATATGTACAGCAGTGCTGACTAAATGCAAATGTTGTGGATTTGTATCTTTAAGGAGAGGTAGAAGTGTAGGGATAAAGCCAGCTTCACGCATGGCTGAGCAACCTGATGATGACGAGACCAAAACAGTTATGACTGATAATAAGGCCTCAGCAAAAAGAATTGAACACTTTGTAGTATCAGTAATAACAGAATCAACAGCTTTCTGCATGAGGCTGGACAAGATGCCACGGTGCCCACCAGAAGTCACTGCAGACAACACAGTTGGTTGGTGTGACCGGTCTTGACAAAGTGCAACCAATGATAATAGACAAAGGATTCGTATTTTCACAGGAACTTCATCCTCATAGCTTAATAAGCCCACTAACTCATTTACAAACTCGGGCTCAGAATTAAAGAAAGTAACTAGATCATCAGTATCACCACTTGCTTGAACAAGAACGATGAAAGCATACAAGCGAATACAGGTATACTGCTGCCGAGCAGATAGAGAATGAAATGCTCTTGCAAACCGCATCCTTGTCAGAAGAGAAAATCTCAAACTAGTAGGCACATTGAATCTTGCAATTAACTTACTTAGAAGTTCTAAATCAGTTTCTAGGCAGAAGCTGACATTAGATAAATGAATGATTTGCAGACCTTTGGCCAACTGTTCTATTTCACTTCCAGATTCATTTATCGCATAGAACTCAAAATGAAGTGTGCAACCCAACTCATGAGTAACCTGGCTGCAACCATTCTGCAAAGCACATGCAATCAGTCCAAGACCTTCTTCCTTTCCTCCCCATCCTTGTGCAAGAGAAAATAACTTTGAGTTCAAAGAAGCATCCCTAATGGTGTGCTTCCCAATAGATTTCTTCAAAAAAGCAGCCAAAGTCTGCAAGCAGGCCTCAACTATATCGGCATCAGTTGAAGCTAGAAGACATGATAGATGCTGCTGCAATAATACATGAACCAAAAACATTAATTTGTGAAATGCTAGTGGATGATAGTGCAATGGTGAAGCTAAATGGAGAGTATTTATCACTTGCACTACAGATGAACATGGCATGCCATGCCTGAAGAATGAAATTACAAACGTAAATCCAAAATAATAAGCAATTATCATCAATGGTCAGTATGCACTAGGAAGAGTGAAATATGGGAAAATACTACTGCACATAAAAACAAACCTCATAAGAGCTATAAAATTGTTTATTAGTGCAATTCTCTAAAATTATTCTTATGACACGCAGAATCTGAAGAACAGCTTCTCTTGGAAATGGAGAATCGGAGCCCAAAAAGTTATCCTCAACCTGCAAATCCTTCCTGAACTTTATGTGCTTCTCAAAAAATGAATCAAAATGATTGAAGAGGTCAGCCCAATGATGGAAATCTCCCTGCATGTTAAAAAATAAATGAAACAAGTCTGAATATACTGTTTGGTAACTATAGAGCAAAATGATGATCCAGTTTCAGAGCCACCTTATCAAATTCCCAAACGAAACCCTTTAGAGGTTCTTCAATATCCTCGAGCGGAACAGATGTAACGTTATTGATGAACGATCTAATTTTTGGAGGCTAACAGAGAAAAAAATAAATAATAAGAAAAAAATAAAAAGGAAAATGTGTGCATAACAATTCTTATACAAAGTTAACAAACAAAAAATTGATCCAAAAACAATCAAACAGTATATAATTAAAAAAAAATGTTCAAAATAAAGTAAGCTTTACATAAACGAACATTAGAATCTAAATGCATGGTAGACACCCAAAGAACTAAAACTCGTCTTAGTAAGCAACTAATAACAGCACAAAATCAGTACTAGGCCAAGGGTTACATATCAGTTGGAAGAATTTGACACACAATGTCATTAATAAGAATGAGCTTATATCCATAACAGACTATAGACACCTAAAGCTTTAATATACAAAAACTCAAAGGGTTCTTCAGGTAAGTACTGACTACGAAACTTATAAGAATTGGATTAACAGATTTTCACAATAAATCCCATGCTAAAAAATTTTAACAAGAAATTTCATGATTTGTTCAGCCAATTGTTAAAAAAAAATGGCAGGACTATATGGATTGGAAAGCAAGACCAATCGATACTTCATTCTGAAACTTTGAAGGCATAGATATTAATTGTCAATAGAGGAATAACTCCAATAATCATTGTCAAACAGTTAGACAGTATCCATCTAATCTCCTATAGACATGCTCATAAAATTTCGAGCAGTTGTTTCATGTCAAAACACCATAGTCATTCATAATATCTTTTTTGTTTTTCCTTTCCCTTCTCTTCTTGAGCCTCAGAAATAAACCAACAACAGAAATATATATATGAATCCATTAAGAATCATGTTACCGTATATACTCACATTCAGCATGACAACACAAAAACTAACATGAGATAGACATTCAAAATTAAGCTGAATGCGACATCCTTATACCATTGAAGACATACGTTATTACCAGAGTTGTTTTTTCTTCCTTATGTTATGTAATCCTCCATCATGATTCTTTCATCGTTTTGTAAATATTTTTCCTTTATTTTCCTGAAGTGTTGATCTTGAGAAGTCCTTTAAAGTAGCACGCATACATACAGGCATTATAAAGGTAGCGGGATATCCATTAGGAATCATGACCAAAAGTAAACTCGTAAGCAGGGTGACACAAACAATTACATGAGAGGCATATGCCGTATCCTTAATCCATCCTAAATTATGACACTGCTGAAGAAAAACTGAAAAACATATCAAGAAAATAGAAATTCGCGTGGGGTAAGAGCAATTCAAATGATCATAATAATGACCAAAAAGACACTACTCAGCAAACTCAATCCTAATCACGTTTCTTCTTGGCATTCCTACCATGGCAAAGTCCTATTACCAACTTAAAGAAGCATAAAACCAATAAACAGAAAAAGAATTTAGAATCTACCAAGAAACAATTAAAACAAATACAATAATGAAAGAAGCTTCGTGTTCATGAAAAGAATAAAAAGTATATAACAAAGCCATATGCGCAAGGAAACGATAGTGCCGGATACCACTTCTAGCGCCCTCCCCCTCTTCATCTTCATCTTGGTACTGAGAGCATTGCAGAAATTGAAAAACGCTCAAGATGACGACCACCTCCCAGTAACCGAGAACTGATCGAACAACAAGAAATGGAATTAGGCTTGATAATCGAAGTGAATAGAATAAAATACTGGAGTAAAACGAGAAGCTTGAATCTAATTCCGCAATGATCAGATTGTAAAAACAATCATTTTCCAAGAGAGAGGAAGAAATTTACGTAATTTGAACCGGCAAAGTGAAGAATTTCAAGCTTGTACGATCAGGATCAAGAAGAACGGAGATCAGAGGAAGAAAGGGTGATATAGAGAAGAAGACGAACAGAGTTTAGTGTTGATATATATATGGGTAAACAAGTAAGCGGTAGAGAATAATTTTGCATCAAAAAGAAAAATTAAACTCAATTAATCGCATTTATTCAAATTTTTATTAAAACTAAAATATTTCTTTATTTATTATCAAATATTTAATTAAAATAATAATGGTTATAAAATAAATAAATTTTAAAAAAATAATTACGAAGTTAAATTAATTAAATAAATATTGATGGTAGTTTTTTTTTTTTTAAATAAAGATAAAAAAGCGTTAGGTTACTTTTAAAATTTAATAGATATTTTTTTAATGTATATGATAAAGATATTATTAAGCTTTACTAAAAACGTTAAAGATATTAATAAAACTCCTTTTTTTACGAGTATTTTTTAAATATTATTAAAATTTTAAATATATTTTTGAAACCAAATAATAACCATTTATATCCAAAAAATAATAATAATAACAATAATATTTTGTAGACATTTTTATTTTAAGATTTTTTTTTTAAGTTATTTTTAAGTAAGCATATATATTAATTACCGTTGAGTTATCCCTTTTGACTGTAATAGTCAAACTTAAATAAATAATCATAAATATTATAATTAAAAATAAATAGGTATGATACATTTTAGTTTAATCAATTTTATTATTATTAATTAAAATTATAGTCCCAAAATAGTAAGTTATTATTATTATTATTTTTTTATTTAGTTCTATGAAAAAACTATAAGACCAATAGTTAAAGTCGAGTTAGACTATTCAATGTGAAACCAAACTTTGTTAGAGTCGATTTAAGTTTCGGCTATCTCGAAAAAGTAGAGAAATGTCAAATTAAGCTTATCAAGGTTAGTGGACCGACCTTTGGAATGTTAGCTAAAGACTTTGTTTGATAAATTGTTTAATGCATGAATATTACGTGCTTATTGTTTTAAATTACGTGCTATTAGATTGAATGATTATGTATATTTTAAAATATGAAAATATCGTGCATGTTGCATGGTCACGTAGTCATGAGTTCACTTCAATAGTTATATATTGTATGGATACATATTCTCACGATATTATTTATGTTCCTTTATTTTATGTTAGATTGGCAGCGTAAGCATGTGCTAGTTTGCAGTGGAGTCACTTACTATGTATTTATTTTTATTTTATTTTTTTTAGAAATTACCATATTTATCTAGGGTTAAAATTTAATATTTAGGGTAAAAATTGATATACAGGTCAAAATGGAAATTTGCTCCAAAAACAAGGGTAAAAAGAAAGAGAAAGTTCGACACGTCGTTTTTCAATTGTAGCCTATAGGCTGAAACGACAATTCGGCATTGGCCCTATTTCCTCGTTTCTTTACCCTTAAACCTCTGAGATGAAAATCCCCCGTACGACTCAGCGATGAATCTGTCTCGCCCTCTTTGGGCTCCCACGCGGCTGCTTTGCTTCATCAGAACTGCAACGTACTCCTCCGCCGCTGTTACTACTCCGGCCACCGCCTCAAACTCCAGTTTTCCCCTCAAGAATGTGACCAAGTCGAACTTCGAAGCTGTGCTATCGGAACTTCGGAGCCATGTCCGAGCTGCGGACTTCGTTGCCATCGACCTTGAAATGACCGGCATCACTAGCGCGCCTTGGCGCGAATCGTTCGAGTTTGATCGCTTTGATGTTCGCTACCTCAAGGTCAAGGACTCTGCTGAGAAGTTCGCCGTTGTTCAATTCGGCGTCTGCCCGTTCCGTTGGGACTCTGCCAAAAACTCATTCGTCGCTCATCCGTAATTTATTTTCTTCTTCGTTTGATTTGGATTTCATTTGGTTACTGCGAAATTTCGTGTGAACCAGGCTGTATAGCCAGCTTACAGTGATGGTGAGATGGTTTCTTTTGTGGAATTTAACATTGTCTCGTTGTTTTGAATTGCAGGCATAACTTTTTTGTTTTCCCGCGCCATGAAATCCTAGTCGATGGCCCTTCTTCCGAGTTCCTCTGTCAGACAACCTCCATCGAATTCTTGGCTAAATACCAGTTTGATTTCAACGCTTGTATACATGAAGGTAGTTTTGTTTTCATGTTTCTCCTTCAATTTATGGACATAAAATTTATCTTCAGGATACAGAGACTGCGTCGAATTCATTTTATACGGTTATTCAGTCAGATTGACAAGCATAATTGTAAACTTGTAGTCATTTCATCGATTGACTCTTTTGGTCCTCTCGGATATTGAGAATTTGAATTGTAATTAATCTCAGGAATATCTTATTTGTCCAGAGCACATGAAGATGCGGCACGCAAACGCCTGAATTTTGCACATGGGGATGAAACGTCAGATGCATCTTCTAATGTGACTAATATTCGGGATCAGAAGAGGATCGGCATTGCTGATGTTTTATTCAAGGAAAGAATGAAAAACAGATTACATGAATGGCGGGACAGATTACTATCTGAAAGAAACATGGAGTGTCAAGGCCAGGAAGGTTCAAATGATTACCAACGACAATTTGAAACCATTTTCTTCAAGATGCGCCCCGCTCTTACTTTGAGCGATTTCACCTCTCATCAGACAAAACTGATTCAGCTGGTGAGATAGAATTTTCCCCCTCATTAATGGAGGTTTATACATTCAGATGGTGATAGAGTTGTTCTTTCATATATCTTTCACGTCATGATAAATTTGCATTTGCATATTTTATATAAATTTCAAACTTTAATGCACAAGTTTGTATGCTCGCTTAATATGGAGCATAAACATAATGGGAATTAGAGTACAGGGAAATGTTATTTTATTGTTCTAAGAAGATGCGATTTTTTGAAGTTGCTAGAGGCTTTGTACTTGTTTCTTTTGTTTGGTCTGTGAAGAAACTATCCGTGACATAGAATAATTTTCTGATGCAATATTTGGCTACTTTCTCATCAAATCTGTCTATGCTCGGCATCGTTTTAGTTAATTGAACTGTCTGAATATTAATCATGCAATGTCGTTTATTTGGGATAACTTGATCTTATTTCATTTGAAGTGTTGATCATGTGGAGGTGAACACATGCAGGTCATTAAGAAGCATTTTGAAGATCTTTGTTTCGTTGTCGTGGATGATGGCGATGCCAATCTACAACAATTAGTCGTGTACGTGGATTCTAGAGACGATAAAGAGCTGCTCATGGTTAGACACTTTCCTTCTGTGCTCACAAAACCTTGACTACAAACTAGCAACTGTAAAAGTTGAAATGAAGACAAATATCTTGACTTCGTTACTTTTATTTCGAACTTTTCAATTTACATTTAAATCTGTGCTTATTAAATGTTTTAGTTCATAAAACTAAGCGCTGAAAGTGGTAATCTCTCTGAAATTCGTTGTGAAAATCTATATGTTGTTGTGTATTGGATCAGCAGTAATGGAAAACAGTACATGAGGCCTTAGTGCTTGTCACACTTCATGCTTTTAAAAAGCATTTAAAAAGTTACAGCCCCTAATAACATATAATGAATTGTCACAATTAATGCAGCAAGAGGTAAACAGCGATCGGCAGGAAGCAGCTGAAATGAAGATCCAATCAGCAATTGGGTTTCGTCATGTTATCGATCTCCTTTCATCGGAGAAGAAGTTGATTATCGGTCATAATTGCTTCCTTGGTAAGACATTCAACCTTAGTTTCATAAGCAATAATTAAATAACAATTCTATTTTCAGCTGACACAACTGTTTTCTGTACCAGATATTGCCCACATACACAAAAAGTTTATAGGTTCTCTTCCTTCAACTGCTGAAGAATTTGTCTCTTCTATTGGAAAACACTTTCCATTCATCATGGACACCAAAATTCTATTAAACGGAAATGGCATTCTTCAGCAGCGGATGAAGAAGTCCAGCACATCTCTATCCTCTGCATTTGCCTTATTATGCCCGCATATTGCCTTTAGCTCTCAGAGCAATCCTGCCTTCAGCTCTGGTGTGCAAGTGGAGGTTCAAGTAGATGATCTAAGGTACGTTTTCCTCGGCATATTTGGACGGCTAGTATTTTCTATACCGTATGCTGAATATAAGTTTCTATTCGTTACCCAAATTTTCTACATCGAGTGCTACCAATAGAAAACTCATGGGTGAAATTGTTGAATTTCTTATCATTTTTGTATAAATATAAGTGCACGTGTGTGTCGATTTAGCATTGATGTTTGTTCACTGGTGTTGTATTCTTGATCCTGGCATTATGTAGGATTTGAAGGTACTTAAGTGATTAAACTTAATTAAAATCTAACTGCATCTATGTTTTTATTTCAATCTCTATGCAGTTCCTCCAACTGGAATTCTGGAGATAAGCATGAAGCTGGGTACGATGCTTTTATGACAGGATGTGTATTTGCACAAGCGTGCAATCTTATGGGAATTGATTTTGTACTTCCTTCTGAAAATTTGGCTGACAATGAGAAATTGCAGAAGCACATAAACCATCTGTATTTGAGTTGGGCGAGTGGAGATATTATCGATCTGAGCACTGGTAATCGAATGACCGAGCCTTTGAGGTCTAATAGATCTAAAAAGCATCAAGCAAAAATATCGTTCGAGAACATTGTTCTAATATGGGGATTTCCTGCCAACCTTAATGCAAGGAAAATCAAAGAGTGCATCTCTAAAGTGTTCGGCCTGGCAAATATCGTTAGTGTCTACCATATAGATGAAAGTGCTGTGTTTGTGCAGTTTGCAAAGCCAGAAATGGTTTCCGAATTTCTCGACCTAAAGAAAAACTTGGAGCGGCACGATGATCCAATATCAGTTTTGCATCCTCTCACTGAGCTTTTTGGAGCTAAAGGTACTAATGCTGCAGGCTATGAAGCATACAAGGAAATTTGCAGCTCTCCCATGTTTAAAGTCTTGTTTGCTGATCAGGCAGAGGCCGTTGGGATTAATCAGAAGACGACGTCGATAAAACCCGAGTCTGTAAAGAGCCAGATGCACGAAGCTGCCAACAACAGTTTAACTGCTGATATGTTGAATGAAACTACTGAAGTACAGGGGATGGAAGTGGGAGCAAATGATCTTAGAAACACTAACTACCATATTTTACGATCTTCTTCGATGTAAACTCACTCCGAACACCGAAAATGTACTATATATTTCTGTTTTTTGCAAATTGGTATTGTTCATTCCATATTTTTGGAGAATGCTGCAACAGTTATGAGTTAAGGAAATGAAAGCCAAGTTATGGCAGAGGAGAATTGGCTTCTTTATATGTGGGGTGTAGTTAAGCAGAAACCATGGACAGAGTTCAAATAGATTGTATTGAACTCCCCTTCAGTTTCTAGACACTTGAGAAGTACATGATGGCATTACCAGTGTGATGGTTATAAAAGAATGAATCTTAACGATCAGGGTGCAAGAAAAACACAGAAGTTACTTTCAGTCTATTTGGATAGTGGTTGCCTTTGCAGATTCCCACTCTCCTCCTCCTTCCTCTACTATAATGTCATCCACGGTCAGTGAAAAGCCACAAGAAAAGGTAAGACTAGGCTTCAGTTTTGGCACGAACACCGGCTCCGTCTCATTGTTGAGAATCTGTAGGACCTTCCTCATCGAAGGCCTGACCGAGCTATCCGGGTTTGCACAGCTCAATCCAACAAGTAACAGTTTCCTCATTTCTTCTTCCTTGAACTCGCCATTCAACCTTTTATCGGCTGCTTCGATGATCTTTCCCTGAGAATGTAATCCCCAAACCCAGTCTACCAGATTGACCATCTTTTGAGTACCTGCTTCTCTTTCGATCGGCCTCCTCCCACAGGCCACTTCAAGCATAACCACACCGTAGCTGAAGACATCGGTTTTCTCAGTCGCTTTCCCGTATTGTAGATACTCAGGTGCGAGGTATCCCATTGTTCCTGCGGTTAGAGTTGAAACCGGGCTCTTGTCGTGATCCATGAGCTTTGCCAATCCAAAATCGCCCAGTCTGGCATTGAAGTTCGCATCCAGAAGTACATTACCAGTCTTTATATCTCTGTGAATCACCTGCTGCTCACATTCCTGATGTAGATATGTCAGCACAGAGGCCAATCCAACAGCAATGTTGTATCTGTGAGACCAGTTTAACAAGCTAGCTTCTACAGATTCCTGGTAAAGCAGCTTATCAAGGCTCCCATTCAGCATAAATTCGTAAACGAGAAGCAGTTCACCTTTCTCGACGCACCAACCTTGGAGCTGAACTAAATTTTTGTGCCTCAACCGAGCTATGATCGTCAACTCGGCCAGAAACTCGGTCTTTCCTTCGTGGGAATGCTTCGATCTTTTAACGGCCGAAATGCCTCCTGATGAGGTGCAAAAAGCCTTATAGACAGTCCCAAAAGCCCCATTGCCAATGATCCTACTGGAGTGAAATCCTTTTGTGGCTCTCTTTAGTTCTCTGTAACTAAACTCCCTAGGACCTGTCAAAAGCTCTGCCTTGAAGCTCTTCTGAGTCCTAATCTTCCTCCATTTCCTAAGTGAAAAGAAGCCAAACACAGCAATCACAGCACAAAAGAAGGCCGGTCCGGCGATCCCGAGACCCAGCCCGAGCCGACTGTGATAACCATTTCCAGAATCAGATATAGAAATATTAGGAGAATCAATCACAGAGCTATCAGAAACATTATGAGGCTTAAATCGACGTCGAGCAGGAACAAACCCAGAAGTATGAAAGCTCCAACTCTCAATCAAATAAAGATCAGTACTCCCTTCAGTCGAACCCGAAAACCCGACATACATAACCTCCTTAAGATAGCTCGAAAGATCGATGTTAACGTCGAGAAGCGCCTCGGAAGGCTTCAAACTAGAATTACTCAAGAAAACCCTCAACCTACACTCCTCATTCTTGTACTCAATCCAAGCCGTAATGGACTCCCCACTCTTGAGATTGAGCTCTTGAGAAGCAGGATCGGCCGTCTTGATTGAAACCAAGCTTTCAATGTCGAAGCCAACATGGTGATCATTAGGATCATTGAAGACAGAATCAAGCCGAGTGTCGAATTCAACCGCGACAAACTTGTTAACCAAACGGGAGGAATTGACAAGGCCCAAATACCCACCGGGACTACCGAGGGTCCGATTATCAGGGGAGAGGAAAAAGGAGAGACCGTCGCCGGAGAAAGTGGGGTTAGTATTAGTGATGGAGAAAGAGAATCTTGTGGAGAAAGAGGCAGTAATGTTGGTATCGGCGTCGTATAATCCGATGGGGTGATTATAAATTACAGCGCCGGCGCTGGAGGAAGGGACCCCGAGCTCCTTGGTGAGGCCGATAACGCCGTCGCGGAAGTGGGAATCGCCGAGGAGAGTGAGGTTTCTGATGTTGAAAGAATTGAAATCGAAGCCGATACTCTGTGTTCTTGGCGGAGTGAAGAGGAGGAGGAAAAGGGCGACGGCGAGGAGATTTCTTGGGGTCATTGGGGCGGAGAATGGCTGAGTTAAGGATCTGGAGATGGGTTTTCAAGAACTGAGAGGATTGGATTGATGATGATGATGGCCGATGTTCTTGAGTCAAAGAAAATGGAGTTTAAACGGTAAGAAATGGGGCTGTGTGGGGCATGGGGTTTGAAAATAATGGAAACAAACAGAGGATCCCAACGGTAATGATAAATGAGTGTGGAAAACGACGACGTTTACGTCAAAGTAGTGATACGATAAATGTTTTTTAATTTTTAAATTGCCTTTTTGTCAGTAAAAGATATTCTGATTCCACGAATATATTAAAAATTAAGAAATAAAATAAATGAAAAGAAAAGAGAAGAAAGGAAATCAGAAAAATGTAGCCAGGGTATTTTAGTATTTTCACTTGGATTAATTAAATTAAAATTTTGAAAAATCGCTCAGAAATTCCGATGAATGAGTATAGAAAACGACGACGTTTCAGAAAAATGTAGCTCAGGGTATTTTAGTATTTTCACTTGGGTTAATTAAATTAAAAAATTAGAAAAATCGCCCAAAAAAAAAAAAATTCTTTTTCAAGTTTATAGAAAGCTCTTCAGTTTTGACGAAGAAATCAAAATGAAATCGTGGACATAGGAGAAAGAACGAGATTAAGAATATAATGAAAAAAAAAGTACAACAGGAACGGGGAAGAAGAATTCGATAGAGATATGATTAAGTATTACATTTTGTGCATGTTGTATGATTGTGTACGGTTGTAGAAAAAGGAACCACATTAAATCGACCGTGCTCGAAAGAGACGTTGAATGAGAGTGAATGAACAAAATGAAAAGACCTAATTGGGCTTAAAGGGGTTTGTTTGCAAATATTTTTTTTTGTGGGGGGCAAAAGAGGAATAATAGAGAAATTTAGGTGCAAAAGGGATACTAAAAGAATGTGAGTGGGAGAATGGGGAGTTTTTATAAAATTCATCCCCATGTGACCTCCAGGGACCAAAATGCAAAATCCCACTTTTACAATTATATAACCCCAGGGACCAAAATGCAATATCCCACTTTTACGATTATATAACCGTTCTGAAGCAAAAAAAAAAAAAAAAAAGAATGATGGAATATGACCCACCGCCCTTTTCCCCACTTTCCAATGCCTTTATTTCCTTCACTGAATCCAACTATTTAATGGTTATTCTCTAAATAGCTTAAATTGGAACGGAATATTTTGATGATCAAGATCAAGAGCAAAGAAACTCGTTTCTAAACTCGTGATTCGAATCACTTCACACGAGATTTGATCAATACCACTTCAATGACTCTAGCGTACAAGTTTTAAACACAATAATTTGCAAAGAAAATCCTAACTTTCAACAAAGCTAACAAAAAATAGAAATGCTATTCTTTTTAATTCTAAAATGTGATGTCTCTCATTAAAGAAAAGAAGGATTTATACCGTCTTTACAACTTCAACTTACTTACACGTGACTCCCAAATTAAATGGGCAGAAATACTCATAACCTCCATATTAGAATGACTAGTTAATGGTGGAATATCGTAACCCATGTGGGTTGCAATATAACCTTAACTCTTCCCTTAAAAACTAATACAAATAAATATCTAAATTATAATTAAATAGTGTAAGGAATGAAATGTGCTTCTTAGTCAGTTCCATAAGTTTAACTGAGTCCGTTAAATGCAACTTAAAAGTACATTGTAATCTCTCTCTTGAAGCTCAACTTTGTACAACATATAAGGGATGTCTACAACGTTTTTTAGATTTTCTTTGATGAGCTCACTATAGATTGAATAAGTATACAATGTTTGTTGTAACTTATTGGCTCTCGTCCTTATAATTGGATCTTGAGGTATGAAAATTCCTTAGTCGTGGTTCATATCAATTAACCTTTGACTTAATGATGGGCTTAGATCGGACTTTGACTTGTTGATTGTCTCGAATTGGTCTTACGATTTATTGATTTTTTTTTTTATCACTTGTAGATCAACATCTAACTTATAGATCGATTTAGATGGGTGTCTAGAGGTTTAGATCGACCTCCGAGAGTCTTATATGAATTCTTTTGGCCTTTGAATCTTCTCCTCTCTAAAATGAAGGATGACGTGTTGAATTCGTAAGAGGTCGGATGAAATTGAGCTTATTTGACACCGAGTCCATTACCACATGACACAATCTAATTTGACTATTATATGTCATCAAATACACACGACACGACACGACACAAACTAATTGAATTAATTCTTGTCACCAACGGGACATAAAGGTCTCGAATGCTCGTGTAGAGATTAGTAATTTATTTTATACATATAAATGATATTATATTTTAAATTTAAATAATTTAATAATAACATTGGATTAGTTTATGCCACCAAAATGACGTTGGTTTTTAGGTTTATCCAATTTTGTCCAGCAACTACAGCATCGATGGCTCTCTGCGTTCCTTGAGCAGCGTTTGTCGCCGGCCTTCGTTCAGTCACCGTCGGTGAACGGACGTCGTCGTCCTTCCGCCACAGTCGCCGTGATCCCTATCTGAAATTTCTCTGGAAGAACTGATCATCTGACGTATTTGCTAAATCAAGCATCTGGAACAATAGCAAAGATCTAAAGCAACTTCTGGGTTTTGTTTCTGATATATCAGGTAATCTCACTTACGAGGCGCTTTAAAATGATATATTCAATTGAATTTTATGTTCTTGTGATGGGAAATTGTTGGCTGGTTTGAACTGTGTTTATTATCGTTACAGTCACCGATTGCTGTTTATTTTTTACGGATTTCTTGTTACTGTCATTGATTGTTGTTTGCTATTGTTCTTGTGATTTGAAAATTATTTTCGGTTATTAATTGTTGGAGCCCTAAATCGAGTGGGTTGCTGAGGTAATTGACCTAATAGAGTGAGTTGCTGAGGAAATTGGCTGTAAATTCAGTTCTTGTGTTAACTCCCCCACGATTCTATCTTCTCATTGTCTTTAGCTTCATCTTAAGAAATTCCAATGGCGGAAAATATTTCTTCACATGATCAAAGATCAGACATAATAAGTTCCGTGGAGATCCCTTTGCCTGTTGATAAGTTAGCGTTGGAATTGGTTGGCCATGGCTCCTCCTCTGGCTCCTCGATCAAGTTAGTTCTTCATTACAGTTTCTTCATTTGTAGGTGAATTTGCTGTTTTAACTCAAACATTCTGTTTTAAATCTAGGCCTAAAACGTTCGTGGTTCTTGTAGCTACTGGAAGCTTCAATCCTCCCACTTATATGCATTTACGCATGTTTGGTGAGTTCCTAATAATTTCCTTCATATAGTTGCTTGAGAATTTGGAAAAGGTCAATGAATTTCATTGTTGGAGTATCAGAAATATCTCAATGAAACAATGAATTTTATGATAGACATAACAATATGACATCTGAAGTTCATATTTGTTCAAACTTAGATTTTCATTTTGTGCATAGAAATGGCAAAGGATGCACTGGAATCAGAGGGCCTTTGTGTTATTGGAGGCTATATGTCTCCAGTTAACGATGCATACAAGAAAAGGGTAAGGTATGCAACTTTATTGACATTTTGAAACCTTCTTTAGCTAAAATGATACATAAAATTCATGATGCAATTACAAGAATGAGGGATAAGGAATGAACCTAAGCTCAATATCAATTGAGATTAGAAAGGAGTTAATCGATTCGCATAAATAAAGAAAGGGAGTAAGTTTGGAAATGTTTGTAGTTTATGCTGTCTTTTATTAATCATTATTTCCTTCGGTTTCTATTCGTCGAAAATATCATACAAGAGGCTTCTAACGTTATCTGACACGTACTTCAAACAAAATCTCGAACACCACTCTAGACAAAGACACTTCCACTAAATGAAAAACAAAAAACAGTATATCCAATTTGTTTTTTTGATCATAGTGTTCTAAGAAAGTATGCCCTTTGGGGCACTTTGCTTCATAATCAAGCACCCTTTGAGGTGCATGCCTGCGCAAAAACGTGCTCCGCGTGTTTTTCATTAGTGTGCTTCGTGGAAAATATGTTCATCTTTTTTCTCAGTCTTGGAATGAGATAGACAGTAGAAAAGGATGTTAGAGAGGGCTGAAAGAAATCCACTCCTTTAGAAATATGGACTTCCTTTCATATCTGGAACTTGCAAAAGTTTTAGATGGCTGAGTGGTTTTGATCATATATGAAATGATAGTTATGTATGATCATTGGCTCGTACTTGCTATTTCTTAAGTTTTGTTGCATGGCCTAACAGAGCAAAGCTTCTGATAATTATTTAGGGCCTCATTTCTTCGGAACATCGAATAAAGCTATGCGAACTAGCATGCCGAAGTTCAGAATACATCATGGTCGATCCATGGGAGGTATTTCTCTTCTTTTCCCTCTTGGTGTGCCATCACTCGATTACTTCATCGTTCTTATGTCGGATAGTTTGGAATTTTACCTCTGATTTAGGCCAGTCAAAATAGCTACCAACGCACGTTAACTGTTCTGTCTCGAATCAAGACTTCACTGTGTGCCAGTGGATTGTTACCCAAAGGTATGGTTTCTCTTGGGATGATGACACTACTGGTTAACTCCGGTTGGTTTAAAGGTTTCATCAAAGATTCAATCTCCTGCCTCCACTTATCCGAAAACGTTGAAAGAATGCGTTCTACATATCGAACCTACCCCGAGTATAATTGCATTATATGTTTCAAAAGGTTACTAGAATAATGATCTTGTGTTTCTCGATTTTGTAAGAATCCCTGAAGGTGATGCTTGCTTGTGGTTCTGATTTGCTTGAATCTTTTGCAACACCTGGAGTCTGGATACCTGATCAAGTATGTATATTATTCATAATTCATGTAGCTATGGCAATCACTCTAATTTGATTCAACCTCGTGACACTGCTTTTCATGTCCCTTCATAGGTTAAAACCATATGCCGAGATTACGGTCTCATTTGCGTTAGTCGAGAAGAACAAGATATCGAGAAAATCATATCGAATAATGAAATTCTGTACGAGAACAGGGTAAGCAATGCAATGCAATGCTGTTACAAGACAATATGACTCTTTTTGTGAGTTCTTTTGCAAGTTCTAATATTGAAAAAAAAATCCTTTTCTACAGAGCAATATCAAAATTGTAGATCAAATTATACCCAACATAATAAGCTCCACCAGATTAAGGTAAGCCGAAACAGACGAAGGGTAAAGTTGGAAACGTTAAATTTTTTTCGGTATTAGTTCGTATAATCATATCTATCCATTTACAGGGATTGCATTTCAAAAGGACTGTCAATCAAATATCTTACTCCTGATGAAGTTATCGAGTATATAAGAGAGCAACATTTGTACTTGAATCCTTGATGATGCTTTATGTTCGGTCGGATGAATAGATGATCAATCGACTTGGATTTTCATGAGCGTTGGTGTGTCTTGGAGTGTCTGTCAATAGCTCAGGTGCGTACTCGGGTCTACGTCATATTAGTTTTAAAAACATTCTTACTTTAAATCGGCCACAAGTTAGATTTTGAGTTATTTTTGTTTATCGAGTACAAACATGTAAAAGCGTATTCGAATGATAAGACTTTTTGATCAATACATGCTTACATTAGTCGTAGATGAAAACATTTATGAACATAGCTTTGAAAATACAAATTACTATACCTTTAATTTTAGCCCTATTTTCAAGGTAGAAATATAACAACTTTGACCCGTTATTTAATTAATTAAAAATTTAATTTTATGTTTAATAAATGAATTAATATTTAAAACAATTTGTTAGATACAAAATTTAAAAATTATTAGACCGTTTTTAAAATTCGATTATATTATTTTATATCATGGTTTGAAATTTATATATATAGATAATACCATTATTATTATTATTATTATTATTATTATAAATACCTTTAAAAATAATTATTGGCAATGAAATTCATAATTATATTTGAAAATAACTTTTTGAATAAAGTATAATTATAAACCCTAAACCATTTCTTTATATTTATTGTAATTTCATTAACTATAAGTATTTATTTAAATAATAGAATAAAATTAAAAAAATAATAATAAATGATAAATAAAAAAGAAGCTAAATTTGGGAGGTTGGCCAATACCATAAATATGTGTTATAAAGTGCATCAAATCTTAGTTAATAAATTCTTCACTCTCTTTCCATTTATGACATCTCAACAAAAAGAGAGAATTTTCAATATATTTCACACATTCGTCCCTTTTTTTTATTCTCAATTAATATATATATTACAAGTTTTTTTTTTTTTTTCAAAATTAATAAGGCGTTTGTCAAACGAGGCAATTAGTTCGACTCGTACTTCTAATCTTTGGACACATTGTTTTCGTTAATGTCTTACGAGTCTTGTTGAGAAAGATGCTACTTCATTTGTATCTCACTCAGCATCTGCTAGATGAATAAATTTTCAATTTCTTTAATAAGAAAAACAATACTGACATAAACACGTTTTTAACCGCTCAAGTAATTCAAATTTGAAACTCAGATCGTTACTCAACATAATAAGATTTGGATCACTCGAAAATACTCATATATGTGGCATTTAATATACAAATTTTTTATTCTTTTTTTCAAAATTAATAGGTCGTTTGTCAACCGAGGCAATTAGTTTGAGTCGTACTTTATTTGTAATCCACGTTGCATCTAGTTCAATTGTATCCCACAAATCATCTATTTTATTTATATCTCACCTGACATCTACCTCATTTGTAACCACGTATCAGACATTCAGTGAATTAAGTTTTCAATTCATTTAATAAAAAAAACAAAAAGAAAAAAAAATACTGACATAAGCAGCCTTTAACTGTTTACATAATATCCTTTGTTTTTCTTAATTTTGTTTCTAATAAAAAATTATAAAAAAAAAAAGAAAAAGAAAAAATATGATTGGTTGGAAGGAAATGGAGGCTCTATTGTGCATGTAAAGCAAAAAGAAAAAGAAATAATAATAATTTATTATAATAAATAAAAAATAATATTAAATTAGAAGAGAGAGAGAGAGGGCAATTGAATTGGCGGTCGTGATTACCAATGTGAGAAAGAAAGAGAGGGATTTGACCGGACACCGGGATGCAACCGGCTAAAAAGGAATACAAGGCAAATGGGACCTCTGTTATTCTCTATAAATCTCTCCGCTGCATGCTTCCCATCAAAGAGACACTTCTTTCATTCACCTTCTTCTCTCACTTCTAGAGAGAGAAACTAAAAGGGCAATTATGGAATGTGGAGGAAGTTCAGCCGCCGCTGGAGGAGGAGGAGGAGGAGGCGGCGGCGGAGATGGGTTCCATAGCTACAGAAGGCAACACTCTAAGCCAACCTCTGGTATTTCAACTCTCTATTCCCCCTTTTGCCCCTCCTCTTCTTTTTCTTCATATCTTCTTCTTGCATGCGTGTACTAAAATGCTAAAATCCTATCTCGGTGGGAGGGGGGACAATGTAGAGGCGTTTTAAAATCCTTGAAGAGAAAAAACTCAAAGAAAACAACATCTATCGGCGGTGAATTTAAATTATTACGACGATCAAAGCTATAAACATGAATATCTTGAGTGGGTTCATGAGGGAAGATTTTGGAAATTTCAAGATTTTTTTTTTTATTTTTATCAAATGATAATAATCCATTAAATGTTTTTTTTTTTAATTTATTTTTGAGTGTGTTTAGAGGTGTATGTTTGCATGTATCATACCCATAGTTTGAGATTCAAGGTTTTTTTTTGTTTTTTTTTTTAATTTTTAATTTTAGAGAGAGAAGAGGAGGAGAGAGAAATGAAGAGTGTGAGTGGGGTCCACTTACACCAGATGAGACTGTCACAGTTTAATTTAGAATTATGGATAATTAGTCTAAAAATAGATTTTTTTTTTAATTTTTTTAATTTAATGCACTTTATAAATTTATTAAATTAAAATATACTAGAAGAGGAAGGGTTTTTTTTTTAATTTATTTTTTTCGTTTTAAATCTTTTATTTTTTTATTTAATTAGATGAGTGAGTTGGCAGTGTTAGTGACGTGGCTAATAAGGAGAGAAAAAAGTGTTTTTTTCCGGCCCTTTTCATTTTCCAGAACTGAACTAACTACCTGTATCTGTTGCCTTTCCTCACTCGCCTTATGGGACGCGTGCGCGCGTGACTAACTCTGTCGCCGTTATCTTACCGCCTACCAACTGGCCACCCTTTCTATTCGCTGGCTGTATTTCTGTTCTCCTAATTATTTTTTCTTTATTTATTAACAAAATTAATAAAAATAGTTTTTACTTCCATTTTTAAAAATATTTTTAAACTTTCCAAAATTTTAATGTTATTCTCAAAAAAATTTAAATACCATTTAAAAATAATTTAAAATATAATCATCCTCCCATTTCAATTTTTTTTTATCAATTTCCTTACATTTTTTAATTAAAAAAACATATTTATTTTTTTTTAAAAAAATACTCTTATGGTAAAAAAAGTAGTGTATTAATGAATTTTTTTAAAAGATTTATTTTTAATCACTATTTTAAATTTAATAAAATAAATTATTAATATTTATGTATTTATTTAAGGGCTTAATTTTTTGGTTTTTAAAATTTTAATTTTCGTCCTATTTTGGAAAAAGATAATTTTTAATTATATTTCTTTGTGACTGTTAAAAAGTTTAACCGTTTGGTTTTAGGGTTGAACCACCACCTCACAAACGGTGCAACCGCCACTGGCAACTCCCCTGCTACCTGCCACGTGCCGGTCACTGGTGCCAACAACGAGCAGAGCCAACAATGCATGGTGCGAGAGCAAGACCAATACATGCCGATTGCTAATGTGATACGCATCATGCGACGAATCTTACCCTCTCATGCCAAGATATCCGACGATGCCAAGGAGACCATCCAAGAATGTGTATCAGAGTACATCAGCTTCATCACTGGAGAAGCTAACGAGCGATGCCAACGGGAGCAGCGCAAGACAGTGACAGCAGAGGATGTCCTTTGGGCTATGGGGAAGCTCGGCTTTGACGACTACATTGAGCCACTAACTATGTTCCTCAACCGATACCGTGAGTCGGAGAGTGATCGAGTTCGTACTGAGCCGATCTTGAGGCGCAATGTGGATTATGTGCCACAAGTGGGGATGATGCCACCGTACGGGCAAGCGTTTCCATTGGGGCACACCTCGACAGGGATGTTCGATGCAATGGGCGGATATTACGGTGGAGGTAGGAGTGGCGGGACGAGCTCTGGAAACGGTAATCAGCTTTGATATGAGTTTGAAGTAGAATAGCAATTTGTAATCAAGGCTATGTAATGAATAAATATAAGAAGTAAGAAGTGAACGTGACCCATTTGCATGATGAGAATATGTAAATTTATGATAAAATCGTCGTTTAATTTTTTTAAGTGTGTTAAAATATCATTTTAAAATTTAAATATACTTAAATCATGGAATATAATTAATAATAATAATTCATTTTTGAAATATAATATATATTATACTTGTGGGCTTGAGAGAATCAAATGTAGCCCATAGCAATGGGCCGACATAACTTAAATTAAGCCCAAACTATGCCACGTCGACTTTTGTTGAGATTTAAACCTCAGAAAATAATACAATAATGATATTTTTTTAAATATTTGTATTTGCTTTAATAATAATAATTTTTATTTAATTTTAGAATTATTTAAATTCAAAACTTTGTTTGATCATTATTTTATATTCACATTATTTTACATTAAATGTGATTCATTTGATTTATTTTTTAAAAATATTAGTTCATTTTAATTTCATAAAATTACGATTATTATAAAGTTGGCTACATTTTAACTTTATGACATAAATATTATATAAATAGTATTCTTTTATATTTACCACCATACGAGGAGATGAATCTTCCTACATCGACTTTAACTTAGCGCTTTTATTCTGTGCTTCAAATGGCCAAATTAGAATTTTTAAATTAAGGTTCGATTTCGATCTTTTTTACCTGTGATAAGGATTTCTAGGGGAAAAAAAATTAAGCTTATTAACTACTTCAACCATGATTGTTTTTTTTTTAAGTGTTCTTAGAATCGAAGGAAAATTAAAGAAAATAAAATTTTAACGCTTGTTTTTATTCTTAAAAATAATGGTTATCTAAAAAAAATAAAAATTAAGATTAAGAAATTACAAGAAAACAAACCTAATCTTTGAAAAAAAAAATAATTTTACCGATTTATTTAGGAATTTTTGTATGACCCAAATTATAAAAGTTAAGTTGGGTTGATTTGAGTAAGATAAATTTTTGAAAAATAAAATTTGATTTGATTTGTTGATGGACATATTTTCATGTAGGACCGAAAATAGAGTTATAATCTAACCCAATATTGTTCTACCTTTAAAAAGATTAATAATATTTCATGTTCGTGATGGATATTAGTGATGCATTACTTTGTAAATGTCTAATATTTAAACTTTATGATATTTTAGTTATTAACGTAACCTGAATCAGTAGAATTCTTATAAATAATTAAAAAAAGAATTCGACAACCCACTTGATTAAAAAATTAATAATAAACTATGAGAAGATCGACCGACTTATACCCCTTCTTCCAGTTTATACCCTTTTCGAACATCGACCACATACTATTAGATGAACACAAATCTCCCACAATGGTATAATATTGTCCACTTTGAGCATCAGCTCCTATGGCTTTGCTTTGAACTTCTCCAAAAGGACTCATATCAATAGAGATAATATTTCTTGATTATAAACCCGTGATCATTCCCTAAATTAGTCGATGTGAGACTTTCATCCAACACATATATCTCTGCTGATCCATGGCCGCCACCGGCCCTCTCCACCCTCCAACCATCCCCTCCCATTCATCCCTCTCCAAATCATAAACCAACCGTTCTTTCCCGCATCCGATGGATAAGTAGAATTTTTATAAATAATTAAAAAAAAAGAACTCTAGCAATCCAATTGGATTGTGAACTCTATTCGAGCGGTTCGGGTCCCCAACCCAATCAATAGGAACCCTTGTCTCGACCCTTAGACCTAAGATGAGATATCCCACATCGGTTGGAGAGGAGAATGAAACATTCTTTACAAGGGTGTGGAACCTTTTCCTAGCATTCGCGTTTTAAAGCCTCGAGGGAAAATCCAAAAATAACAATATCGGCTAGTGGTGGCCCGTACCATTACAAATGCTAGCGATGGGTCTGGACCGTTACAAATGGTGTCAAAGCCAAACACCGGCGATGTGCCAGCAAGGAGGTTGTTCCCCGAAGGGGGTAGGCACGAGGCGGTGTGCCAGTAAGGACGCTGGGCCCTGAAGGGGGTGGATTGTGATATCCCATGTCGGTTGGGGAGAAGAACGACACACCCTTATAAAGGGTGCGGAAACCTTTCCCTACCAAAGACATTTTAAAGCCTTGAGGAGAAGTCTGAAAGGCGGTGTGCCAGTAAGGATGCTGTGCCTTGAAGGGGGTGGATTGTGATACTCATGTCAGTTGGGGAGAATAATGACACACCCTTATAAAGGGTGTGGAAACCTTTCCCTAAGTGAAAACCTAGAGAGAACAATATCTGCTAACTGTGACCTGCGACACGAAATAGAAAGAAACAATGGAGCATTTGCAGGAGCAGGAAGAAAACCAGAAGCACTGAATATCATTTCTAACTTGTTCTTCTTGAATCATTTCATCCTCATCAGGGTGTTCAGCAACAACAGATATTGAAACAGTAATCTAATCTACAACTCAGAATCCCAAAGGAATGAAGCTTAATATAATAATAATAATGATGATTATGATAATTCAGAAGAATTCACATAACTTGCCTATCAGCAGCATCAGCAACAATGGGCAATCTAGGGACCTGCCCCAACAAGCAAGAAGATGACCCATAAATCAAACAAATCAAAAGAAACAGAAACACAGTGCTATCCAAGCTCATCACCAAATCCAACCCCAATCCCCCTCTCGGATTGAAGCTCCTCTCCAGAAGATCGGGGAAAATCAAAAGCACATCAAGAACAATGGCTTGCATAATATTGAACCTAACATATCGACTGAAATTAGGGTTTCTAACCACGACGAAGTATAGAGTCAAAAACACCAGAAATCCGTTGAATGGAAAGCTCTTGAAAACTCGAATCGCGGGAACCAAGGGCTGAATCAGAACCTGAAAGGGAGCGTACTGAGTGATAACGTACTTGCCGTACTGGACGCCGTCGAAGAACGGGTAGAAGTAGCAGATGGCGGAGATGAGGCGGTCGGGGCCGTCGGCGGTGTTGTTGTCGCGGTCGCCGGAGGATCGGACGGTGAGGATGCGTCGTCGTCGCCGTCGTCGTAGAGTGGTGAAATTGATTTGGTTAGTGAGGGTTGTTGTTGCTGCTGTAGTTCTAGGGTTTGAGAGAGAGGGAAATGGCGAGGGGAAGAAGGAAGAATGGAGGGTTTTGGGGGAGAGATTTAAGATAAGCGTCGCCATGGATGAGAGCTTGAAGCCTAAAGAAATGGAATTGAATCGTGTGGATTTTGGAGGCTCCCCCATCATCGTTTTTATACCATTTCCTTTCTTCAAAAACAAATAAATATCTCAAATTTCCAACCCTCTTTAAATTATCAGTCAAAATAAACTCATCTTAGCATAATTATCATTTTTACTCTTTTACCGTTCTATTCGATACCATTTTTTTTTAAATACAATATTTTAATATTTTTGAGCTCGGGTACACGTATTAGGTTGAATTGAAATGGATTGTAACCTTATTTTCAAGACCCGACCAAACAAAATGTAAACCTACAAATTGAATCAAATGGTGAGTTTTCCAAAAATTCAACCAAACACAAACAAAGAAAAAAAAAAACATGTAACAGCTTAAGCCCACTACTCGCGGAATTTTTTTGCTTTGACACGTTACATATTGTCGTTGACCTCACGGTGTTAAAAGACGTCTACTAGAGAGAGGTTTTCATACCCTTCTAAACAATGTTTCGTTTTCTTTCCACTCAATGTGAGACCTCACAATCCACCCCTTGGGGGCCGGCGTCCTAGTTAGCACATCTCTCGGTGTATGACTCTAATATCATTTGTAACAAGCCCACCGCTAGTAGATATTGTTTGCTTTAGCCTGTTACATATCACTGTCAGTCTCATAATTCTAAAATGTGTCTGCTAGGGAGAGGTTCCACACCTTTGTAAAGAATTATAAAGAATGCTTCGTTCCCCTCTTCAACCGACGTGGGATCTCATAAAACATTGGGTAGTCCAACTGGATCAGATTAACAGGCCTATGAACGCTCATCGTCCTGAAAGGGCAAAGTTATCATCCGGGTTCTCTAATCAAAATTTGTCCATCGTTCTAAAAAATGTGAACGATTTAACAGCTTAAGCTAATGGGTGACAACAATTGGCATAAATATGCTAGAATCCAGCCTCCAACCAAATTCATCAAAAACAATGCAAGAAAGAGAAACAGCATTTACCCTGTCAAACCGATCGTTCGTGTTCCTCTCCCCAATCAAATGAACAAAGTTCTGTTGTGAAGCTTCCAAAATCTAAGTAGGAAAAGAGAAAAATGAACATCTAATCCAACTTTGATGATGATCAGATGAAAATAATGCAAGAAACAGGATATGTTGGTGTTTCAGCGTCCATCATTCCTAAGCAACTTCAAATAGATGAACATCCAAGAGAATAAAAGATGTAAGTTCAAAAGGACAGTACACAGACAAGATATGCTGATATGAACTTCAAACACAGAATATTATGGACGTGTCCCTTCCAAGTAACAGAATCATAACTATCCCTAACCCTACCTTCTATTCAGAGTCGTAGTCCCAATATTGGCTAACGAAGAGAAAGATCACGAGTCTATAGGTAAGAATCACTATTTGTATTGGTTCGTTCCAATTCAAGGAAATCAAAAGCAAAACCATGAAAGTTTATGCAACAATATCATATTATTGTGGAGGTCCGTAATTCGAGTTACTTCCGAAGATATAGCATCTCTATGATGAATCAATCTCTCACTGTACCACCACTCCTACACACATCTTTCTGCCATTTGAGCTTCAAATGCTCGACTGGTAACCCAAGGGGTAAACAACAAATTGAAGGAATGTCCATAAGAAAACTAGAAGAAATTCGATTGAAAAAAAAAAAAAAAGGTTTCATGCTTTTGAAAAAAGCTTTTGTTAATGAAGAAGTTCTAACAAGATCGTAAAATGCCAGCATTCGGAGGGAGTCGGTTTTGTTAGGAATCACGACTCCCCAAAATGATATGATATTTGTCCACTTTGAGCATGAGCTCTGGTGGCTTTGCTTTGGGCTTCCCCAAAAGACCTCATACCAACGGAGATAGTATTCCTCACTTATAAACCTATGATCTTCGACT